CATAAAAGAGCTGTGAAACTTTATTTCAAAATGTTCATTAAATAATCTTTTTGTATATTGTTTGAAAAATTAAAAAAATATCATTGAGTGCCAAGATGCTTGCATTTATCTTATATATGACCGTTAAAAAGCATGTCAAACTACCATATACCAAGCAGAAGCAATATCTTAGTGTTTCTTTTTATAAAAACCCTTATTGCAAAATGTTTATACACTGTAGTTGAAAAAAACATACTTGTACATTATTTTGGTAATGAGAATAAACAATTAAAGAAAGTTAATTAATAAAGAGTTCTGCCAAAGCAATTTAAACTAGGAAAATATACTGGTAACAGTAAGGACTCGGGTAACAGGAAAGACAAAACAGTAACAGCATGGACAAAACAGTGTAACAGGATGGACAATGACATCTAGAATTAAAACAAAAATTGGACTTTTTATAACTTTATTGGTTAAGAAATGAGAAAGAAATGTAGAATAACTAAAAACATGATATTGTTAAATCTGGCAAATTCGAGACAATTAAAGACCTGTATGTCCATCCTGTTACGAAATTTAATTGTAAAGTGCTATTAAAGTATATATCGCTTCATTTTTTATTCATTAAAGGTACTCCATGCTATTGCAAAACTAAGAAATTTTCATAATTATAGGTAAAACAAATGATACAACTGAAATAGGTATATAAATACCAGTATAATTTGTCCCTCCTGTTACAATTTCTGTCCATTCTGTTACAAGAGTGCATGTTTAAGTTATAATGGCACTATTTGAAGCACAAACATATTTCAATATGATTTATAAAGTTTTTTAACATGTGTAATTAAACTTATATTACTTAGAATAATGAAATTAATTGTTTTTATTGTTAAAATTCAAGATATGAAGTCAAGTTTTCCTTACTGTTACCATGTTAATGGTAACGGGAATGACAGTAACAGGATGGACGTTTCTCATATAAATCACCCGTTATTTAGTATAATGTACTCTTTCTGCATTATCGAGACATTGAAACCATTTCTTTGTAACTCAGTTCATTTAATTGTTCTAGCAGAATAAACAATTGAAAGAGAACTTGCACATTATGAAGGTAACAGATAGGACATATTTTCATTATACCCTACCAATAAGACAAACTTATCGACCTTTGAACCTTTTCTTTATTCACTTTCAAATCATGGCGCTCATAAACTTGAGACAACAGAAAATGATGATATATTGAGGACCGTGAAAACAGTTCCTAGGAAAGTGAGATAACTTTTAATTTAACATTTTCTTTTTGGTTACATAATTAGGCATTGCATTTCAAGCATAAATTATATACTCAACAAATAAGAAACGCATATAAGATTAGACATAAACTAAGTTTTCACTTTAAGGGGCAATATCCCTCTGCTCCAAATGTCACTATACATTTTTTTTCATCCCAAACATTGATTTTGACAAAAGCATTAGATTCAAATGAACAGTGGCTTAAAGTATGAAGCGTTTCTTACTTTTTCAGAAATGAATATTATGTCAAATCATAATGTGAATAAAATTTTGATATCGATAAAAAAAATCAATAATTTTTTAATCTCACAATAAAATTAGAAATATGAGGATAACATGAAAATAATATTCACTCTCATACCTATCTAATTCTCATTAGAAAACATACTGGAGCGTTGTTTTTAGATTAAAATATCAAATTGTTTTCCGTGCTTGTAAAATAATACGCATCCATCAACAAGTGTTATCTTTCCATTATTGCCCTTGAAAATATTTTTTAGTGAAACAAAATATTAATTAAATGTTTAAAAACAATTCTGCATTTGAAATTTCTTTAACAAGTAAACGAGTCATACATTAAGAGAAAAAAATATCTTAAATTACATCTTTTCAAGGAACTGAGTATAAATGTTTGAAGTAAACTATAAGAAATAATTAATAAAAAGATTGGCTATAGAAACTAGAAATCAACATCGATCTGTACTATGGAACAGATTTGACTGAGCTAACTATGATATGGTCCATAGTAATGAAAGCTGTCAAATCTGAATCGACAATTCACTGAATTTCAGGGAAAAATGTCTTCAGAGGGATATTACACCTTAAGCCATATATTTTAAGGTGATTTTAGAGTATGTCGTAATAAGAAAAATCAAACATGTCCTAGGTTGTAATTTAAAATGTTAAGTTGATGTCATTGTTGTCGCCTCTAAATCCTAGGGGAATACCGTCTTTACCAATCCATATGTCCTTTGCGACCTCTCAGCGCTGGTGGATTTCAAATGTACGGAAATCGTGCACGAATACCAGCTCCTCTCAGATTCCTGCGAACAATTTGTGCACGTTTATGCTGATTTCTTCCTACAGCATTTATAGGAGCAGTTTGTACAGCAGTTCTGAATCGATTGCACAAATGCTGAAGGGGGTCTTACGGTCCTTTCTGGGTGTTGTAAACCGCGGGAGGCCTTTTTTTGTCTATCAAGCGTGTTCTGAACTTGTTGGAGACGTACGCTTAACCACTGTAAAGCCGATTGATGTACACCAAATACAGTGGCAACGTCCTGTTGCGTAGCTACGGTTATCATCATCGTCTCGTCAACGTGCCCAGTGTTAACGTTGTAACCTATTCTATTTTACCAACTAAGATCTGTCGGTGCATGGATTCGAGCCCACGACATTACCATCACAGAGCAAGCACTCAATCAGATGAGCAATCATGACGATAGGGAAGAAAGAAACTTTATAGAACATTTTCTCGACTCCGCTATTTATCTTTGTTCGTAGGGATTATAGAATTCAGTGAAGGATTGGTATTTCAAATTCATTTTGATTTTTTTGGGAAAAATAATTTAACTATTTCCTCCTATCATTGGGTTGAATTTTTGCGGACATGATTCAATGAATAACAAGCCTTTAATTTCACACTGAATTTAACTATGGAAGATTCCGTCTCCGTCTGTATCTGATCAATACATTAGGCTCTGTCCAGTGTGATTTGTGAGCAGGGGATGCTCACTCTTCCTAGGCACCTGATCCCTTCCCTGGAGTTTTAGGGGTCCGTATTTAGTATTTACAGGGAGATACCTTAACACCATTCTTATTTATCATAGTCCTGGACTATGCCCTGAGAAAAGCCATCTGTGGAAATGAAGAGGAATTGGTTTTCACCATACTGCCTAGAAAATCCAGAAGACACCCAAAACAAGTTCTTACTGATCTTGATTTTGCTGACGACATTTCCTTACTATCAGATGAAATTGTCCAAGCACAGGAACTGTTATCTAGAGTAGAGAGGGAGTGTAAGAAAGTTGGGCTATGTATCAATGCCAAGAAGACTAAAGTCCTCCCCTTCAATACTGACAACCCTTCTCCACTCAAAAAACCTTAGATGGCACTGAAATCGAATGGGTAGAAGATTTTAAATATCTTGGTTCCTGGGTTGAAAGTTCAGAAAAGGACATAGCTGTCCGGAAAGCTCTAGCCTGGCAGGCTCTGAACAAGATGTCCAGAATATGGCGCTCAACAATGCGAAGTGATCTCAAGTTGCGTTTCTTCATAGCCACAATCGAGTCAATTCTACTGTATGGCTGTGAGAGCTGGACCCTGACAGTAGCCCAGGAGAAGTCGCTAGACGGAACCTACACACGCATGCTCCGTAAGGTTCTAGACATTCATTGGTCAAGCCAGATTCCCAACGAGTTCCTATATGGTAACCTCCCAAAGGTCAGTGATAAGATAGCCTCCAGGAGATTGCAGGTAGCTGGGCATTGCTTCCGTCATCCAGAGCTCAGCGCTCAATCTTTGTAACTGTGGGAGCCAAATCACGGACGCCGTAGGAGAGGTAGACCCAAGGCCACGTTTTTAGACACACTAAAGCGTGACACAAAGACAAGGGATACAAATGAGCTAGCTTCCCTAATGGCTGATAGGAAGAACTGGAGTGGTCATGTCGTTGGTCGTCTAAGGACGACCGAGTGAGTGAGTGTGATTTAGTATCCTCCTGACAAAATTGTATTGTTTATGGATGTTTTGTGTTCCATCACTGTTTGGCACCCTCACAATTTACTCCTTACAAAGGGAGCTTTTGGAAATAAGTTTGATTACCAATGGCAAAATTAAATCCCAGTTCCATGTTTTAACTTTTTTGTACAATGGCAACTTTTACTAGACTTTGTATTGGTAGTCCAAAATATTAACCCAGTGTTTTAATTTTGTTAATAAGACTTTAAAGATATTTATTTTCAATTTTAAAAAAATGATTTTTTAATTATGATAACCTGTCAATTTTCTTCGATAATTCAATAAGCCATTATCAATTTTATTGCATATAATAATAAACATGTATGGCTAACATCATTTGTCTTCTATAACAAAAAAATCAATAATTCTTCTTTTTAAATCACATTGTTTTCGTATCATTTTTTCCTTTTCAACTCTTCCATAAGGGACCAGGCAAAATTGATTACAATTATGGGACCGCTACAAACGGGCATGGGACAATGAGATTTTTCATCGAAGAAAACCATGAAACAAAAATATTTATAGCATTAAGTACCCATGGGACACAAACCTTTTTTCAATGACTTACAGTACTTAACCCATGCCAAGAGAAATATTCATTTCATTATTTTTTTTAAATCGAAAAAATTATATCTTTGAAACTGAAGTGAAGTATACAAATGCAACATAAATCTTTTAATGGAAAATATTATAGTAGATGAAAATGAACAAACAAAAAAAACTTTTTTTTCGATGTTTGAAATATCTATAGTCTGAGAAACTCCTTAATTTTTATCCAGTTATCTCATGATCACTAACACCAAGATGTAACCATGGGACAATAACTTTTTTTATAAGTCTCAAGTCATGGGACATATATATTTTTTTTAAATACCAAAGTCATGGGACACATACTTTTTTTAAATGTACTGGTCCCATCATTGTGATTAATTTTGCCTGGTCCCTAAGATTCATGCATCAACCATCAATTGCTGAAAGATAAGCCTCTCTTAAATTATACACACTACTATGGACGGATTTTTGTTTCCTATACGAGAAATCATCTTAAAGTTTGAGGGATTGCTCGTATGTTTGATAATTAATGCAGATGTCGAATTCGGAATAGCCTCACTTTCGTCTACGAACAGTGTGAATGTCAAATTATTACCGCTATCATCTTTCCAGGTCATGACTACAAAATCGAAGTCGCCTTGAACAATCATTTGCCTGCCGTATTTATTCTGGAGGTGATTAAAATTATCTGAAAGAATTCATTTCAAAATAAGTTTAATTTTACCTGTATATATATATATATATATATATATATATATATATATATATATATATATATATATATATATATATATATATATAGTATATCCTAAATATATATACAATATGGAATATATATACTAAAAATGACCAACGACACGAACAATAAAAATAAATATGTCCCTTCCTCTAAAACAGTAAGAACAAAGGAAAAAGAGAAACAAAAACAACTAGCACTACTACTAAACACTAGATATTTACATACTTAATAATTACATGATGAATTGGAAATTTTTATTTGAAATCGTACGATAAGAAAATATACCCGATGGGAAATGTTCTTTCTTTATTAGTGTTCTTAAAAATTTCCAATTCATCATGTAATTATTAAGTAAAAAAAGTAGTAGTGCTATCTTATGACTTTTTAACTTTTTTCTTTGTCCTGAGGAAGGGACAGTCCCGAAAATAATTTTTATTGTTCGTGTCGTTGGTCATTTTTAGTGCTATATATATATATATATATATATATATATATATATATATATATATATATATATATATACTTATTTAATATAAATATGCTAAAACAGTCATAACCTCCTTACGAATTATTTATCGTACGATAAGAAATTTGGGAAATGTTCATCAAAATACAAAAAAAAATTATATCAGACCAGTATAACAATCTGAAACTAATAAGAAAATATGATAAAAACAAGATGTGTTTGTGAAAACACTATGCTGCAACAAAGTTCGAAAAAGCTATTTTTAGCATGTAGGTCTCACAGTCAAGATCACAAAGTCATTGACCTTTGTGTCATTTGAAAGAGCTCAAGCGCAGACAGACAAACAGATAAACAGACAGGACAAAAACAATATACGCCTCGGGTCTATCGATCCGGGCGCATAAAAATACATGCATAATCTTTTAAATACCAGATTTAAATAAAACTGACAGATTAAATTAAAAAAGGAAGTAACAATATGTGTTTGTGAAGAACTATGCACCCGGCGACAGCAAAGTTTGAAAAAGCTATTTTAGCATATAGGTCACAGTCAACGTTACAATGTCATTGACCTTGGTGTCATTTGTAAGAGCTTAATTAAGTTGAGTATGTATACCAAATTTAAATATGAAGTATATCTCTCGTGGTTCAAATGTTATGGCGAAAGTTCGAAAAAGCTATTTTTAGCATATAGATCTCACAGTCAAGGTCACAAGGTCATTGACCTTGGTGTCATTTGAAAGAGCTTAATTAGTGGAGTATGTAAAGCAAATATGAAGTCTCTATCTTTCATGGTTCTCAAGTAATGGCGAAGGTTAAAGTTGACAACAGACAGACAAACAGCTGGACAAACAGGCAGACAGACAGGACAAAAACAATATACGCCCCGGGTCTATCGATCCGAGCGCATAAAACTTTTCCAATAAAAAGTCATACTTACATGCTAACAAACTGGCAAATTTGTTTTCTTCTGCAGTTCTGATCAGTAGAAACCTTCCTCCCTTTGCTTGACACCTTGAAAAACCGTCGTCTTTACCAAAATGTCCTTCGTATCCCAAACAGTAATTGAATGCTCTACTGTAGGCATATGGCAATGGACAATGTTCTAAAACAAGACAATTATTAACCTCAACACGGGATAAAAAACTTAAAGCGATAAGGTCAACGCTATAACTTTTCTTCCCCAACAGCCGAAAACTCCATACAAAATGATCTGATTATTAGCGAAGAGGCAAGTGACTCTAAAACGTGTGTTCGTACATATAAATAATACGTATACATAGAAAAACTGACATGTACAATTAACTGGCATTAGAATAATTGAATTTAACAAAATAAAAAATTCGAATATTTAACATGAAGGATATGGAGATAACGAACAGTATTCAATATCAAAGTCCATAAAACAATACAAAATAGGAGCAGAGCAAACACATACCTCCAAAACCTCTATTTAGTTATCAAGCAATTTATTGAAATGCCAAAATTTCCATGTCATTCTCTCCATAAAGTGTGTGATGCCATGGAAAAGAACACACTTGTTAAAACTCTATTCACTGGAGAAAATGTAATTATACCCGCACTTTCTAAAGAAAGTTCGGGTATATTGTTGTTACTCATGTCCGTCCGTCCGTCTGTCTGTCACACTTTTCTTCCCCGAACTCCTCTTACATTTTACACAGTAGCTTAATCATCTTTTGGGAGATGGTTGGTGGTGTCATGTAGATGTGCAGTAAAGTTTCGGAATTTTGATTTTGCCCCGGGGGGTCAAATGGGGGTCGAAAAATGACGTTTTTTATGCAAAAAGTCCCGTCTTCCCTGAACTCCTTCTACATTTTACTCAGCAGCCTAATCACCTTTTGTGGGATGATTGGTTGTGTCATGTAGATGTGGAGTAAGGTTTCGGAATTTTAATTTTGCCCTGGGGGGTCAAATGGGGGTCGAAAAATGAAGTTTTTTATGCAAAAAGCCCCATCTTCCCTGAATTCCTCTTACATTTTATTCAGCAGCCTAATCGCCTTTTGGGAGATGGTTGGTGGTGTCATGTAGATGTGGAGTAAGGTTTTGGAATTTTGATTTTGCCCCGGGTGGTCAAATGGGGGTCGAAAAATGACGTTTTTTATGCAAAAAGCCCCGTCTTCCCTGCACTTCTCTTACATTTTACTCAGCAGCCTAATCATCTTTTGGGAGATGGTTGGTGGGGTCAGGTAGATGTGGAGTAAGGTTTCGGATTTTTGACTTTGCCCCCGGGGGTCAAATGGGGGTCGAAAAATGATGTTTTTTATGCAAATAGCCCCGTCTTCCCTGAACTCCTCTTACATTTTACTCAGCAGCCTAATCACCTTTTGGGAGATGGGTGGTGGTGTCATGTAGATGTGGAGTAAGGTTTCGGATTTTTGATTTTGCCCCGGGGGGTCAAATGGGGGTTGAAAAATGATGTTTTTTATGCAAATAGCCCCGTCTTCCCTGAACTCCTCTTACATTTTACTCAGCAGCCTAATCACCTTTTGGGAGATAGGTGGTGGTGTCATGTAGATGTGCAGTAAGGTTTCGGAATTTTGATTTTGCCCCAGGGGTTCAAATGGGGGTCAAAAAATGACGTTTTTTATGCAAAAAGCCCCGTCTTCCCTGAACTTCTCCTACATTTTACACAGTAGCCTAATCATCTTTTGGGAGATGGTTGGTGGTGTTATGTAGATGTGCAGTAAGGTTTCGTAATTTTTATTTTTTCCCCGGGGGTCAAATGGGGGTGGAAAAATGACGTTTTTTGTGCAAAAAGTCCTGTCTTTCCTGAAGTCCTCCTTAATGTTACTCAGAAGCCTAATCATCTTTTAGGAGAGTTAAATATTTTGAAAATTATGTAAAACATCAACGTCAAGGGGTAAAAAAGCATCGCATGCTGGGAAACACCTTGAATTCTTATGAGTAATTAATGTACATGTCAAATGTGAGAGTCATATCTCATCTCAATCAAAAGTTATAAGCAAATGCAACATTTTTGAAAAGTAGGTTAGACTTCAAGGTCAAGGTCACAGAGTAAAAGTCATGATTCATTTAGAAAGATCTTATCACAGGTAATAATATACATGCATTATAATATGATTGCCCTAACTTTTCTCTTTCAAAATGATGAATTTATAACAATTTAATTTTTTTGCAAGTAGGTCAAACTTCTAGGTCATATGTAAAAAAAAAAATCATGCCATTCTAACAGGTAAATACTAGTACATAAGTTTAATATGAATGCCTTGTCTCTTCTCATTCAGTAGATATGACCGTGATGACCAAGGTTAAATTTATTGAGACAGATGGACAGTCTGACATACAAATGTACATATTTCTATATGAATTGGGTAAAATTGGCCCAGTGGTTCAAGAGAAGTTAAAAATGTAAAATGTTTTCAGACAAACAGATGGACGACACGTCACGACAGACGTTATATGATAAGGAAACCAGAAAAGCTCAAATGAGTGTTTTGAAAGGGTTACAATATGGTTGCAGTATTTGAAAAGCTGTTTTTTTCATGCAGAGATATGCATGACCAACATAATCATGTTTTATATTTTCTTTAGTAATTTGTTTGTTTGTTGTGAATACATCTCTCTCAGGAATTTTTCCCTCATATGGAGACAGCACCAAATAATAATGAAGACAAGATGTGTTTGTGAAACACTGATGTCCCTGTATGGAAGCCTATGGCGAAGGTAGAAGTTTCTCAGATATATGTCAAACTCAAAGGTCAAGATCAAAGGGTTCAAATTGTTGATATCAGAAGAAAGTATTGTCACAAGGAATGCACATGTGAAATAAGTAATCCCTAGTACTTTCTGTTGAAAAGTTAATTGCCAAGGTTAATTTTTTTTAAGTGGTTCAAACTCTAGGGTCAAGGTCAAACATATTTAAACCTGTTGACAGTTCACAACTAGAAAACTGACCAGTCAGCAAGGGCCCCGCTAAGGGGTAGAAATATAAGGGTGCAGCTCACTGAATGAGAGTTTTACTTGATTACATTTTTTTTAATATATGAAGATTATAAGTAACAACTGTATTTTTAAAATTTCAAGATAATTCCTAATGTCCGAAAACCTGTAAATAGTAACCTTGTATTAACATAAAACAGGGAAAACCTCATGTCTTTTTAAAAAAAACTAAATTTAATGTGTATTTAAAAAAGATTTAAGGAGGTGTTTTATAATTTCAAGCCTTCAGTGAATGCAAATATCACCCAGGGTTGACCTCAACTTCAAAACAAACATCAGTTGCAGACAAAGGTGTTCATTAATCTTCATGTGACAGATAAAGATAAGCCTCTAAATTTTCTGCAGCAAGCAAAATAATTAATCCCAGGGGATTACTTGTACTGCTCTCCCATCCTTTTCTTCTATATAAATTTACAATAAGAACTTTTTTTCAGCACTGAAAGAATGGGGTTATTATCTGATTACCTGTTAAAATTAACAGCATTAAGCAGCAAAAAAATATTAAATTAAATAAATAATTAAAAAATAAAATAGTAATAATAAAAAAAGATATCTTAATATATATCTTGATTTTAGAATTCAATAAAATTATGTTAAATCATTGTGTACAATATTTTAACCAATATAAAGTATGAACATTATTTTAAATCCATATTTCAAAGAATGTACACATCATTCAAAATTGACCTTAACTTCAAAACAAAGTTCATTGCAGACAGAGGCTGGTACAGTAATTAATCTAAATGTGACAGATATAGATAATGCTTAGGATTTTCTTCATGTGGAAGGTTAATTAATCCCAAAGGACAAATTGCACAGCCTTCCCAGTTTACAATGGTAACATTCTCAGCAGTTATCTCTCTTTGCCCATTCATTCTTATGCATAGTTAAGGAATCTACCCCACCACCCCAGCTCCAAACCAGAAGACACAGAGAACCAAACTTAGCATCAAAATATGTATTTCTGCATACTGAACTACCATACCAAATTTGAACCTGATTGGGCAACCTTAAAAAAAGTTATTAGAAAAAAAACAGAAAATTTGTGGACGGAAGAGTGACAGACGGACAGACAGACGGACAGACAGACAGACAGACAGACGGACGGACAGGGTGATTACTATAGGGCACCCGCAAATCCTTGCGGGGCCCTAATGAATACAGTACATGTTAAGCATGAAAGCCCTAGCACCTACTGATCAAAATTTAAGCCAAGTTTAAGGTTTGGTATTTTTCTTGTAAAAATGTGTATCCTAGGTCAAGCGATCAGAGGTAAAAATTAATGGTACCCAAATAAAAGGTCTTAATTGTCACAAGAAATAAACTTATAAAATGTGGAAGCCATTTGTATAGCCCATCCCACTTAAAACTTATGGGCAAGGTTATAATTTCTGCACACAAATAGACAGACATAATATAAACACAAGAAACAAAATATGTATAATTAGTCAAATGGAAAAAAATATACTATTTCAGGGACAGGGAGTGGGTAGGGAGATTGAATCCCCCCCCTGGAATTTGTTTTGTTATTTAAACAAGACTATATACTGAAGCAAATAAAAAATGACTTTGGACATCCTCCCCCTAACTTAGAAAACATTGACCCCATTATCATTGTTTTTATTTTGTTTATTTGTTTTCAGTTTTTTTTTCTCCTGCTTGTCAGGAAATTCTGGGCTGGAATTTTTTGACTGAGATGTGAACCCACCTCCCTACTCCCGAAAAAAAATTCTGGATCCGCACCAGTATTGGCAGTAACTGAATGTCACATCGACAACGGGAGATAACTTCACAATATGAAATTCGTGTAGTGTGGCATGCGATGATCTTTGACCCTTTTTGAACTTTAACCTAATCGTTTGGGTTTATTTTACCCCCCACTATACTTAAACTTGTACTTTCCGACCTCCATAAGTCTTGTCAACTTCATGAAATTTATAATCCAATTATAACACAAAATGAATATTAATCCAATGCACACCAGACTGCAGCATGACACTGCTAATGCTATTCCATTCGGCAAACCTTCGTGCCGTCGATTCCGTCACCTTATCAGATGAAGTGGGAATCGGCCGAGGTGTGCCGAATGGAGTTTAATCTAAATATATGATAATGGGTGATGCAACGTGATGTGATGTAGAAATTTACATGTTAACATGTATAGTACAAGAGCAAATTTTAAATTAATTCATAACAAACGATGTTTTAACAAAACTGTTCCATCTAGCCTATTCCAAAAAGTATGTGCTGTGTGATTGTGATTTCGAGAGGGGGGGGGATTAGTAAATTTGAAAAGGTCCTCAGCAATTATGAGCAAAACATTTATCAAAATCTAATGTACATCATTAATAGAATTCAAATTGGTATATAATGAATTAAGCATGTAAAATAAATATAAGAGGTTCAGAGTTATAGGTCATAGGGAGAATTTCATACTCAATTTGATGAATACACTGTACATGTAAATTATAAAGAATTATTTTGACTTTTTCCTTGGAAAGCCGCCCAATATGTAGGAGCGTGTATTTAGAGGCAAACACCTTAGTGCGGGTATTACTGTCTCATGACAGCATCTAGTTTTTGTTGTATTTAATAATAATATAATTAATAAGTGCACGACTCAAGGAAGAATAAATACCTTTTGTCAAATAGAAGTACGACCAGCCCTCTTCATTGGTACTAGCATTTGACGTCAGCAGTAGGGTTTCGTATGCACGACATTGCCTTTTCGCTCGGTGAAAATTGAAAGAAATGCATGTTCTTTCATTAGCGCAATTCGCTGCACACAACAATGCAGAATCTGAAATATCTTCCCAGAGCAATCCGTGATTAAGAATAAAACTATCAAAACGGTAGTCTTGAAGCAACCGGAAATTTCGTATGGTCATTTGTGAGTTAACTAATAATCCATAGATTAAAAATAAGCTGCAGATGTTCGTTAGAGTGTTGCTAAGAACATTACCTTCCATATTTTTTTTAATTGCAGAGTTATCACAAATCAAATCATTTCTACCTCTCTGCCACGTGCGTATGATGTACATTATGATAATAAAAAGCCTCCCCGTGCAGGAAGAAATTTCTATTTTTGAAATTATTCCAAAAAGATAATAAAACAAATTAAAGGTGAAATTATTCCCAAAAGATAAAAAAAATTATGGGATAAGTCGATATCTATAAATAATATATATTCCATAAACTTTGTTATTTGTCATGTTTGTATTGATTGAAAATTTAAATCAATCCATCTCCCAGCGCCTCAATTGTTTCTTCTCTTCTATTTCATCTTAAAGGATTCACAAAGCTGTTAAGGTTAACTTAAAAGTCCAATATAACTAAGAATATGAAATTTTTTTAGTTGCTTATAGAACATTTGCATTAGACAGAGTAAACCTTATTGGGAAAAAAACTTGTATTGAAGAAGAATCTCAGTCGAATATTCCATGTGTCATGAATTTAACCGCTGTCCACCGGTTACATCCGCTGTCTCTTCCTTGTCCTCGTTATGAAAAAAACTACAAAATTCAGTGTGTTAAAGTAGCCAACAATTAGTATTTGTATCATGAAAAAACAAACGTCAGCCAGTTTTCGGCTCTAAAACACAGGTCTTTAGATCGCTTAAAAATTGAGGTGTAAAAATATCTTTTTTTAAACACACAATTTTTTTTATGCGATTCAAAGGCCTGTGTACGACGGCGTATTAGTGCCATTTTAACAATGTAGAATTTTTTTTTAAAATCGTTTGTACGATTTACTAAATCGTACAAACGATTTAGTAAATCGTTTGTACGATTTAGTAAATCGTTTGTACGATTTAATAAATCGTTTGTACAATTTAGTAAATTGTTTGTACGATTTAATAAATCGTTTGTACAATTTAATAAATCGTTTGTACAATTTGTTTGTTAAATCGTTTGTACAATTTATTAAATCGTTTGTACGATTTAATAAATCGTTTGTACGATTTAATAAATCGTTTGTACGATTTAATAAATCGTTTGTACAATTTAGTAAATCGTTTGTACAATTTAGTAAATCGTTTGTACGATTTAATAAATCGTTTGTACAATTTAGTAAATCGTTTGTACGATTTAATAAATCGTTTGTACAATTAATAAATCGTTTGTACAATTTGTTTGTTAAATCGTTTGTACAATTTATTAAATCGTTTGTACGATTTATTAAATCGTTTGTACGATTTAATAAATCGTTTGTACAATTTAATAAATCGTTTGTACAATTTAGTAAATCGTTTGTACGATTTAATAAATCGTTTGTACGATTTAATAAATCGTTTGTACAATTTAGTAAATCGTTTGTACGATTTAATAAATCGTTTGTACAATTAATAAATCGTTTGTACAATTTGTTTGTTAAATCGTTTGTACAATTTATTAAATCGTTTGTACGATTTATTAAATCGTTTGTACGATTTAATAAATCGTTTGTACAATTTAGTAAATCGTTTGTACAATTTAATAAATCGTACAAACGATTTATTAAATCGTACAAACGATTAATTAAATTGTACAAACGATTTATTAAATCGTACAAACGATTTTAAAAAAAAATTCTACATTGTTAAAATGGCACTAATACGCCGTCGTACCTGTGCTTTAAAAGAATGAATTATATTTGCTGACAAGGTCTTTGTCTCGACCATAGAACTAGCGAAATTATCACTTTAAAAAAGACTATTGAAATTCTTATATCATCGGCTTGTTTGCCGATAGATTTCATCGATACAAAAATTCTGTATATGTAGATCAAATAAACTATTTCCTCTAAAACACAGTTGAAATAACATTGTTGCTATCTGCTTTATCAGCTGAGACAAGTACTAAAACACACTGTTCGCTTGATCTGTAGTTTTATCAATTCTAAAGTATTGAAGACTACGGTGGCTGGTATAGGACATGGTATGAGAATTTCTTTTATTAATTCGTGGCCACGAAATAAAAATTCGTGGGAACGAAATAAAATTCGTGGCCACGAAATAAAAAATTCGTGGGAACGAAATAAAAATTCGTGGCCACGAAATAAATTTCGTGGGAACGAAATAAAAATTCGTTGCCACAAAATAAAATTCGTGGCCACGAAATAAAAATCCTTGGCCACGAAATAAAATTCGTGGCCACGAAATAAAATTGTGTTATATAATGTCATTTTTAGCTTCATTCAAGATGAACGGACTTATTTTTATAATTCAATGGGACTGAGCCAAATGGATTTTTGTTTGGGTATTGAATAATATGCCTGAATCATCATTAATTATTGAAAATTGATTTTTGCCGCTTAATTGCATGAAGAGCTGATTAATGAATAAATAGTATTAATACTGATCTGACTAGTTCATCGCATTTTCCATAACAATTACATGTACCTTTATTGAAGAGCACACACTTTCATTTGTATTAAACAGTTGAGTTTTATGTGAAAACAATCATGACAATATCTGAATATTGCTTTCATTTTTAAGATGTCACGTTCCCGATAATAGGGGCCTACTCCGCCACTGATTGTAAAATAAATAAACTTTGAGTTATTGACTTAAAAAGCATTACAATTACACGTATTTATTTGAAACATCTAGCAATAAATGTGTGAAATACATTGAAAAATACACTGGACATAATCTTAGCTATTGTAAATAACATTTATCAAAGACCTATATATAATATAAACAAAGGCTAAGTATTTAAGTTTAATATTTCATTCGAGTTGGCAGGTATTTTCCACAGTGGTCTACACAACAGTGGGGCAGCCGGCAAACTGGCATACCCCCAACATCAACATAAGTTGTGCCCTCCCTGACGGGAAAAGTAGCACGCTGGGTTGACCTCATTCGTGCTACGGACACATTTCATATTTCATAATACAAAACAATAAATCGGATACTTTCATCACCCACCTTTCACTTTCATTGATGCATAGAAAAGGGGAGATAACCCGAAACCTAGTGACTAAGTACCGACACTGTATAGATGAATAAATAAATTCCGGCTTATCTCATTTATTAGTTTTTTCACAAAAAGGAGGTGAATGATGACATATAATATTGAGGATAGAGCTTTGATAACGACGCATATTGTGAGATGAACTCAAATATGCGGTAGTATTCTCAGCTTTTTGTCTGCAGATCCGCGCGCGCGTCTATGGACAGAACTAAATTACGAACCCGATCTGTCAATACACTAGATTCTTTATCTTTTATTTCGTGGCCACGAATTTTATTTCGTGGCCACAAATTTTTATTTCGTTCCCACGAATTCTTATTTCGTTCCCACGAATTTTATTTCGTGGCCACAAATTCTTATTTCGTTCCCACGAATTTTATTTCGTGGCCACGATTTTTTATTCCGTGGCCACGAATTTTATTTCGTTCCCACGAATTCTTATTTCGTGGCCACGAATTAATAAAAAAAAATTCTCATACCATGTCCTATACCAGCCACCGTAGAAGACCGAATGAAATATATATTTTTTCATATTGCTTCTCAACCGCCTAATGGGAGAATATTACATCCATCTGATAATTTCAATCCATTTTGACAAAATGAAAAGATATTCATTTTTATACTTTGGTCCATGTTCTGGCAATAGAATGAGTCGATAAAGAGCAGAAACCTCCAATCATCTCTCATCAACAAACGTTAAATTGCTATAAAACAACAACCATTTTGAATGATAAAAACAAAACACTGTTTTTCACAAAATGGAGATTGAATTTTCAAAGTGCACAAATTAAGAAAATATTTTGATTGTTAAAAAAAATAGTAATAATACAAACCAAATGAACTTTTATTTATAATGTATAAGCAAACCAAAACAAAATCCTCCTTTTTTTCTTCTTATCGCTACTAGTATAAAAGAAATTCAAAGTGATCGTATTGTAACAATTAGTATACCGATACAATTTTGGGGGGAGCCCCAATATTAATCTTTCAATCGGTGACATAGCAACAATTGTATCTTATTGTATACTGTATTACCCCCAAAATACCAAAAAATTACTAAAATGCTAGATGAGCTTATTAATACGATTGGGATTTACTGAAAAAAAATTAAAACTTCATAGTTTTTGTCATGACTCCTTATAAAATGAATTGAGATAAAAAAAAAATGTGTTTAAATTCCATAACTCGAAATCCAGCTTGCTTTCCTTTTATGGCTTGAAATGCTTCAATATGACGCTTCAGTTTTTAAACCCACTCAACTTTTGAATTCATTACACCCGATCCCTGCTCCTCTGATATTTAACAGGTCCGTGTTTTCTATGCTACCGGTTTTTATTATTTCAATGGACTTTTCATGGATTGAATCCCCTTGTTATCTCCTTATTTCATGTTATTTTGCACAATCACCTGCACAACTTATAAAAAATTCAACAACATAATTTGAATATAATGTTTTTAAATAAGGTAGACTGTCAAGAAAATTAATGGTATGTTAAAATTTGGAATACTCCTTTTTTAGCTTACTTGAACCGAAGCTCACTTGAATCAAGTGAGCTTTTCTGAGCGAAATTTGTCCGTTGTCTGTCGTCGTCGTCGTTGTAAACTTTTCACATGTTCATCTTCTTTCCATGACCCTGGCACTGGGCCAATTTCAATCCAACTTACCACAAAGTGTCCTGGGTGAAGGAGATTCAAGTTTATTGAAATAAAGGGTCACGCCCTCTTCCAAGGTGAGATAATTATGAATTATGAATTAGTGAAAAATGAATGACATGTTTTAAAAATCATCTCAAGAACCACCGGGACAGGAAAGATGAAACTCATGTGGAGGCATCCTCATGTAGTGTAGATTCAAGTTTGTTAAAATCATGACCTCCGGGGGTAGGGTGGGACCACAATGGGGTATCAAAGTTTATTTTCATTTTTAGGAACGTATGAGTTTAAGGTATTATCAAATACGGTATTTAGATATTTGTATAATGTTTAAAAAAACCTACATTAGATTTTTGGTGAAT